TATGTACAAAACTAGTGACAGAACCAAACTGTCTTGAAAGCAAAAAACTAGTTAGATTTGATGTCATAGTGTATTAATTTTTTTGTCATTCAAACGTTGCATATCCATTGATATTATGATATTAGGAAATATATAGTTGAAATATCAATAATGATTCAAAACTTTTTTTTTTTTGTCCAAGACTACCAAGGAAACTATCTGTACATTGTTCAATCGTTCAATGACATGTTTTTTTACCTTATAAAAGATATTGTTTGAAATATATATAACAGTAAAGTTCTCCTCAATGAAACTTTGTACTTTTAAATGTTTTCAGTTTGCTTTGTCAAGGTAAAATGTGAAAACTTAGTTCAGACTTAGTCTGTCTCTCTGATTCTGCTACAGAGAGACAGACAATGGACAACAACCTTCAACATTTTTTAATTAAACATTAAAGAAGAAATAACCTACATTGCTTTTGACCATTAAAACTCACAATGACACTGTTTACTTTGTCATTCCATGGTTTAGAAAGTGAGAAAATATTTGCTGAAACAAGTATGAAGGATAACAAAAATGCTATCTACCTGTAATTCCCTACGCTACCACATGAGGGAGGGGAACATGTATTTATTTTATTTTTTTCTAATTTGAAATTCACAAACTGGATCTAAAAACAACTCCAGGTCAGAGACTGATGAGGGGACGATGATTTTTTTTTGTAATACGTTTAAGATTCATGATGAAATAAATGCATCCGAATACTAACATTAAAAACGTGTGCCTTGACTGCTACAAACAGCGACAACTTGAGGAGTGGCGGAGATAACATCACAGCTTAAAATCCTTTTGTGACACCGACAACATTCAGTGTGAGAGGCGACAGGCAGACTTAAGCTGACACCACTTAAGTCTCTGCTCTCTTAATTATCCCAGAGGTGGAAAGCATTAAAGCGCAGGTGTTGGTCGCACACAGAAAGATAAGCAACGTGGATTATATGCTGCTAAATCACACGGGACAAATGAAAAGGCAGGACATATACGCTAATGCATTTCTCTAACAGTTGGCGTCCCCAGAGCCGCGGTCGATAATCTCCCAACAGGTGTCCGTGTTAGCTGAGGAATTCACCCAGGCTGCGGAGGATTGACTTTCTTAACATAAGCTTTGCCTGAGCACATGGGACGCACACAGGAGGAGGCCCACGCTGTGATCCCCACAAAAAACTGTTTTTGCCATTTCCAAATTTTACACAACGTTTTAGATCCAGTTATACTCATAAAATATATATGTTCAGCTACTTCGATATATGTATATTATAAAGGTAATACAATCATGGAAAATATTATATGGTAATCTTAATTAATCCATTTATTGTATTCCAGCAAAAAACCTCAAAAAACAATTGAACAGTTGATTTTCTTTCAAAATGTTGATAATCGTAAAATCGCAATATTTTTTCACACAATAAACGTGACTCAAAAATGTGAAACCGTGGCAACCCTACTATGGCTACAATGGTGCCACTTGAGTGTGAAAGTTAGTTCCCGTCAGACCTTTGAAGCTAGGGCGGGCAGAGCCTGGTTAGTGATGATGGGAGACCTCTGGGAACATCAGGTGCCGCAGTGGAGCTGTTGCTGTGTATAGTGTGACTGAATATTTTGAATTTTTTAAAGCACTGTATAAAACCAATGCATTATTATAATAATTATTTAACAAATTATTTAGAAAAATAGGCGTACAAGTTTCTAATGAAGTAAAATGCTGCTAATCTTGTGTTTGTGTATTTTTGTGTGTTTTTGTTTATGTCTCTGGTTCACACCGGGCATTTTTGTTTTCAAATGCAGGTTGTAATGGCAAAAAAATCTAATCTTGAATGGAATATACTTTTTTTCATAGGACACTAATCACAGTTTTTACACCTCAGCTTCAGATTCAAGTTTAAAGATTGAGTTTTGGGGGGGATTCTACAAATACCGAAAGTAACACGTTGTGAACAAATTAGAAAACATTATGTTTCTTAGAAAATATGTTGTATACTTTGGAATGAGAGCTGAGTGAGGGTGGTCCTCTCCCTTTTCTTTCTGAAAAACCTGATCTAAAGATGTGACAGAGACCACACATAGACTCATGTGAAAACTATGAATAGAACCAAATTGTGTTAGAGAATGAGGAACTATGGATTATTTTTGCAGAGTTTGGTGGTTTGAACATTAGGTACCTCAGCTTTAAATCAGCTCATCTTTCTGACATACTGTGGCATCAGCTCTCAATAGAAAAGCAAAGTCATGAAAATATTATCTCTATTGAATTAGAATATGACTTAATAGTTGCTTTTGCTTGATTCATTTCTCTCTGTATAAACATAGAAGTTGCCAATATTGCGGTGGACTTCCCCTAAAACTCACCAAAGTTCTTTTAAGCTAAACATATATCAAATGCTGCAGCAGTTAAGCCCAACGTTGATGTTATATGGAAAATCCTACATAGTGTTTTGTTTTTGTCGGCGGAACTAGAGCACAGATGCAAAGTGGCATGACATTTCCATGGTTCAGACTAATTAACGTCAGACTGTCCTCCAAAAACCTCCCGTTACCAAGAAAGACAGTCTTATAAAACCTGCCTGAGAGGTCATAAGTATAGGAAGGAGGTGGGTGGGGGGGGTAGCTCAGGCTGTATACCCAGGAAGCAGATGCTCGGAGCGTTTTAGTGGTTACGATAAAGCTGAGGTGAATGCAAAAAATGTTGACTTGCCAGACTTCCCACATATTTTGATTTGATTAAATGCTTGCATAACAAGATTTTTGACTTATTTTGGTGGAATGGTGCCTAAAATCTGTTGAAATATATGGGAAGTTGACAGCCAAGTTCTATAGAGACGATAACATCATGCTGTGTGTTTAACTGTGTTTGTATGTTATCTGTGCGTTTGTATGTTTCTGCCTTTCTTAGGACAATAGATACAATTTAGCTAATGTGCTTAATCCAGCATATTGATGTTGACGCTGTTTGCCGACACATTGATTAAGATGTCCTACATTCAAATAAATACATATATAAATGCTAGGGATAGACGGAACTAATCCTAAAGTTTGCTGCAATTTACAACAGGCATTTTGATCACACTTTAACAAATCACTCGACGTAAAAAAAAGTATTTCTGAGATTTTGGCCTGGTTTATCACATGTTTGATTCCCCGCTGTGATGTCATCAATCACAACCAGGAAGTCAAATTCTGAATCTGACAATGTGGTCAAACAGAGATGAAATTTGTTTATTTTGTCTGATTATTTTGCATATGTTTACATGTACTGCCCAGTTCATACACAAGGCAGCTACTAAGGGCTTAAAACGAAACAAGAAAATTTAAATCAAAATCTCACAAAGCATTAAAATCATAAATAATCACAGTACATTAAAAAGGTGTATCTGCACAGAAAAAACAGAACAGTTAGCAACATGTTATCAATGACAGAACTAGCCTCTCTGACCCAATGTTTTGCTTCTGTCTCCTGATGTAGACGAAGCTGGAGCCTACAATATTTCACCTCACAAAACCCAAAGCGATGAGATCAGCCCTGTCCCATGATATAACATTATAGAAATCTTGTGACTACCCCATGTCCTTAAAGTGTATGACCCAGACTGGCTTTCAAGCTGAAGACGTATACACACACTGCGATCATAAGAATCCACCAAAGTTCAGGAACAAGGTGGAAATTGTGATAAATTAGTTCCGACTGGGTGTTTATCAAAAAAGGAGACGCCGTGGTTTGTCAGTGAATTATGAGTAAGATAAACACGAGCACAGATAAGGGATGCCATATATTCAAGTGAAATAAGCAGAAAAGGTTAATTAAGCTGAACTTGTATGTTTATTCATTCAGTATTTGCCTGATGAGGTCCCTCTAACTTGGTTGTCTTTTCTCTTCTCAAAGAGATTCCGTATTGTCGCAAAAATATATATATTGAGTAGTAGCTGTGAATAAAAATGCTAAAAACTATAAATAAGTTACTTCTCTTAAACACTTAAATGTATTCATACTTCTGCAGCATTTGAAAACATAGATTTGGCATTTCTGTGGTGATATAAGAGGCTCCTTGAAAAACATGTTAAAGACAAAAAAAACCCAATCAACAACAAAGCCTGTACTTCATTTATTCGTAACTAAAATATAGTCCCTGGGGTTTGACTATAGATAGAAGAAGCCTTGCCTGAGTATGCGACCTACTTTCAAACCCCATTATTTTGTTGCGTCCCACTTCTACACAAATACATTAGCTTAAAGAGGTAGTGCTTAATGTTTTTCACGCAATGATGTCAAATTAGTACAAATTTGATGTAAAAGCTGCTCTTAGGGTTAAAATGAGATCGTTGTGTGCCGCCTGCGTCTTTTCAAACGGCCTCTGAAAAACAGGAAGTGGGTTGATAGCATCCCAGTTGTTGGAGCGGTGGTTGAAGCCACTGTCTGACAGTTTTGAAACAGGCACTATGAACTCATTGCAGTGAATAATGAATAAATTAATTGATACTCAGCCAAACTTTTATACATGAACTGTTTTTCCCACTTAAAAAAATCCTGTACGCCCCCTTTACTGCAACAAGATTGACTGAATATACAAGCTATCCTTTATTATGAACGATTACGACAGATAAAAAAAAAAAATCTTGTAATGTGGTGAAAATAAATTTGCCTGGACAAACAATATTTGAATAATTTGCAGCACTTAAAGAATCTTTTAAAGTTAAAAAAGGCAAAACCAGACCACAACAAGCTGTCTTATTCTAGCTTATTAGAAAACACATTTTAGATACTTGTGTGTTTGAGTCACTTTTTGATACTTTGGGTGGAGAGATCATTGGCTGATCAAGAGCCGTCCTTTTCCACTTACATCCATGTGAAAAAACACGTTGAAACACGTCAGGGGGAATGGACGAGTTTGTGGAGAAGATTCTTCATGTATCAATTTGATTCTGCGTGGTGTGTGTCGTGAATGAAACAGTGGTAGATAAATACTGACCGTTTCTCTTCTCCCTCTGATGGGTTAGAGTCCTGCTCGTTGGGCATGTGTTCCATTCACCTCAATTCCATCCAGCAGCCAATCAGGAGAGACTGAGGCAAGCCCCGCCCTCGGATGCACACTTGTCATTCGATGGTTGGGGTGGGGGGCGAAGTCAGTTAGTCGAGCATGACAGGGTCCCTTCCCCCACTGAAGGGGAGGGGGGTTTCGGGAGCGCCCCCTGGGGAGGAGAGTGTGACGCTGCAGCGGTGCAGAGGTGCCGGGGTGAGAGGGGAGGCACCCGAGCTGGAGCGGGACGGGCACCTTTAGGGATCCAGAGGTGGGGAACAACCTGGAACACACAAGAGCAAGGGAAGCGTCAGGAACATAGACTGTAAATATTAACGGACGTAGTCACACCTATCTCCGCCGTTGAAACTAATGTGCCATCGCTTTCGCCTTTTTTGCGTTTTTCCAAAAAAAGGGGCAGGAAAATGTTGAAAAAACGCATTTGCGCATGTGTTAGCCGGCACTAGCCTCATTCATTTGCCAAGTGCATTCAAAAGTCCACAGCAGAACGTAGCTTTGGGCCTAGAGCTGACTTTTGGACCATCCTGTGAAGCCGTTTTCGAGAGGAAAGAAGGCACGATACAAAAGCATTGGGTAATTCTCTTTCTGGGTACACCCCCACCTGCCCGGAGCGGTTTATCAGTGCTCGTGCTCATGGACCTTTTTGAGCTGGGACCCGCCCCCACTGGTCAGGACTTGGTATCAAAAACATTGTTCTAACAGTGAATTGGCTCTTCACAGATCTGGCCTGTAATGTTTCGTAATAGTGCAGTTGGATGTTGTAAGTTGTGACATTACCTAAACAGCTAAAGCTAAATAAAGTCTTGCTTTGACTCATGTATAGGCGCCACATCAGACACCTGCCAATCCTCCAGAACTGATGAATGAAGCAGACACTCCTTTGGTACAGTTAAGCACAGTTCAGCTCTTAAAAAGCCACAGTTGTTTTTGAACCAGGTTTTAAAAAGTCAATACTGGCTTATATGGGAATTTCTCTTTCCACCGGGCTCGAGACAGAAGCCCAGCTGCCCAGAGCGCTCTAGTCTATGCTTAAATTACTGCTTTTGTCAAGGGATAGCGGAGCAGGTGAGGGCTGCAGGAAAGTTGGTCACAATGATTTGATTAAGGAGATATTTTATACCATCAAAATACTAGGATTACTTTATCCTCTTTTTCCTCTATCCACAAGCGTACCACTAACCACACGTCCTGTCAATCATTATGAAAATCATAATACAATGTGTCAAAGGGTCGTAAATGCAAGACTGTCTGCCTCTTCGATTTATGTTACAACCCAGATGTGTTGTTTGACAATTTTATAGCACATAGTATTGTCAACATCTGCTGATTGAAGTTTGGAAAATAGAATCAAAGATTTTGAACAGAATTGAGGGTTTACTACAACACGGAAAAAGGAACAGTATTGTGAAACTAAATAACAAATGTAATGGCTTTGATAATGTTTTATATTGAGACAAAATGCAAATGTGTATGGCATGAGTGTAATATTTCAATCTGTGTTACTATTTCATTGATAACTGCAGAATCAAAACCAGTTACTGATCTTGTAATATCTTAATACCATTATGAAGTTGGCAGAGTGAGAGAAGATACTGTTGCATGTATGTTCCACAGGCCTCTTACATGGACAGCCTGCGCTAATAACCCCATGTGACCGCACAGATTACATCCATTGTTTAGCCGTGCACTTGAAAGCATTACTATAGTGTGAGGTCAGAGGGTGGGCACAATCCCCCTGGTAGATCCCTTGTGGCGTTTTGTGCGTTGCGTTGACGTCTAATTTTTCTAACCTACGCGTACTGTCCCGGGCCGGCTTTCCCATTATACCCATTACACTGTGTTCCTGTGTGGAAGTCCCGAGTGCCCTGAACCTTCTAACATTACACTTGAAACACTATGGCGGTGTTCCTCCCTGCACAGCTGCTGGGTCCCGTAATGCTAGTCGGGACAGTGCTAGGGGCCACTGTTTCACCTCCGGGGGGCTAAAAAGTTCATGGTAAATGGTGCCAGAATGTCACCTTACAGCCGAGGTTAAGTAGCTCTAAGAGGAGTATTTGTTAGCGTGTAGCAGTAGTCAGAAGATCTCAATCCATTAGCGCCCACCCCTCCCCTCTCGGTGTTGTCCAAGAGGGCTTTAGTTTTCCTTGTCTTAATCCTTGATTCAATGCATTTAAATCCGCGGCATTGGGAAACGGACCATGAGAATGCCTTTAGAGATGACTGATATTATTATTGCCGTCCTGCTAACATCGAACATAAGCAAACAGCCGTTTCTACCACCGGGGAAGTGATAATCATTTAATGCTTCAGTATTTAATCTGGTGTAAACACTCACAATGATGGCACAGTGCAAATGTTCTAACCACTGGGCTGTGACTAAGTCTTTATTTTCAAGTGTGGAAAAATAAGCCACTTACATTATAATTTGTATTGAGTTGCACCCTGGTGACGGCTTTGATATTTCAATTAGGAATCAATGTTGGCAAAAAGTTGAAGTCTATTTTACTTTGATAATCACAACATTATGGACATATATAATAACCTTTTCACTCAATGTATTTGGTTTAGTATTGCAAAACAGAGACAAAAATATAACATTAAAACAATAACATTTAGTATACACCCATTTATCTGATACATCTGTAATTGAACTGATAAATGTAAAAAACAAATAATGATGAATACTAGAAAATAATCAACAAATTCAAAAATAAAAAACATTCTGACTGACATTTGCATATTCTTCCTATGTTTATATTGGTTTCCTATTGAGGGTTAGGGCGCAAATAAATGATTTCCTTCAAGGACAAGGAAACAAGTTAACCTGTTGTAACTGCTTGTGGGTAATAAAAATATTATCGTAATTAAATGCTTCAGTATTTACCGCGCTGTAATCAAACACAATAAAAACAGCCATGCATTATAACACCCTGCAAAGTACTAACCTTCCCTGCTCTAACAAGCCAGTAATGGCCTTATATTATAAACGCACAGGTGCATTGTGGTTTTGCTGCGGCTGTGATAGGGACGTGACTGCCTTTCTCCAGAGGTAAAGACGTCGAGGCTAACATGCTTTATGGGCCCTGACTGTACGGGCGAGGTAACACAGAGGCTAAGGTCTTTTCAGCCATTGTTGAAGGCGTTTATGTTAAAAGCGCCCATACATCAGCTTAATGTTGCCTTAGGAGCTTCCTGAAAAACACTGCGAGTTTAATGGTTTGAAAGAATTGATTTAAGACATGACTTAACTAATGTATTGATCTTAAAGTAAAGTATAATGCTTATAAACAGTGAAGCAGTATGTTTATCTTTGCATATATTTGACAGTGTTTCATGTATGACTAATTATACTTGTGGATCTTATGCTGTGTAATGGCAAGAACCAAATGAATGGATTATTTAGGAAAAGCCAGGTGTGTGTGCCTGTACAAGATTGTCTATTTACCCTGAATCATTAAATCAAAGCATGAAAACAGTCAATAAAGACAAACAAATTAGCCAATGTTCAGAGGAATTAGGCAGATGGCAGGCAATTGTCCCAGAGCATCCACTGTCACCATGCCAACCACAGAATCTCTCATCCATTGCAGATACAGTAAGATCAAGTATTTAGATTTACAGAGAAAGATGTTTACAAAATTGGCCCATAGCATAATTTGGTACATGCAAATTGGGTGGGTATAGTGCTTTTTGGATGCTTAAAATATCACTCACAATAACTAATTTTGACATGCAATAAAAGGCTTCTGTAAATGATTGCGATAAACAATAATCCTGAAACTACCCTATCCCACTGATGACAATCCCAGAATAAAATTATAACTGTGATTAAAAAGCATGCACAATGAAAGTACTACGAAAAGGTCATATTCAGGCATTTTAAGTACGTTTTAAATTTAATCATTGACCTTTATTTAACCAGGAAAGTACCACGGAGATTTCAGAGAGAGTCCTGAGCACAAAGAGAGGGAAATTGTTGTAAATGTTTGGAGAAACAGAAAACCTACGCAGACACAGGGAGAACATGCAAACTCCACTTAGAAAGGCCCTGTGTGGAGGTGGAATGGAAAACCAGGACCTTCTTGCTTCAAATCTACAATAATATTTAGTATACATTCACTTATTTGACACATACTGTATGTAATTTAACTGACTAATGTATGCTAACCACTCAGCCACCGTGCCGCCCAAAACTTCATTTAACTAGTAAGTAATTTTTGATTATGTATAGTGCATCAAACAGACTAAAGTCATACATATCACTTTTAATTTCTGTTTAATGTCCCTTAAAAAAACTGTTAAGAAGTTTTGGTATTTTTTGCACAGGAAATGTATTATTGGGTCTCAATTTGATATTGACTCTCAATAATATATATAATTATACCCTTCAGTTTCTGAATGATAGGTCGATACAGTAATTATGACAGGCCAAGGAACAAATACTTTGGAGAATTTGTGTAATTATAATCATCACTGTTCCCATAAGACATTTGCCTTCATTTAAGCCTGAAATCCCTGCTCTGATATTAGAATATTGTGGTTTCTGTTATAGACGTGTGTACCGGCAACGCATCCCAGGCTATAGCTGTCATTACTAAATCAACGCGGCTTCGTGCGCCTGTTAACAAGAGTTGTCAATTTTTGTTTGGTAAAAGCAGCTCTGGAGTCCACTGCTCTAAACACGGAATCACGAAATGCTTTTCCAAACGCAATCCCCGTCCTTACTCCAGGTTTAGAAATGATTGGTTTGCTTTCTATCAAAGCTCTTTTATAAAATAACAAGGTTGTCTAACTCTCACAGTGGAACACCAAGTCCTCCACTTTTTTTTTTTAAATTTGATCTCCCATTGAAGAGGTGAAATAAATTCTCTCAGATATGATGTTTTTCGTGTCTTAACTGTTTTGCCACCGCCTGTATCGTTCACATCTACAGTCTAATGCCTTAGTTAGACCAGCAGCAGCAGTCTTAAAGGGCTATTGTGATTTTCCTCTACAAACACACAAGTATCCGACCTGACACTGACCTCTGCTGTTGCTTAGATTAAAATCACAGAAATATCCCCTTAGTCTACCCCATGCATAGTCCCATGTAGGGGTCATGCACAATTCAGACACCAAGAGATAAGAAAGAGACCAAAAACACAAACAAATAGGCGGTCGGATACTTTTACACGTATGATAAAATATAACATTTTGGGAGGGGAACTTGTTGAGAGGCTGGAAAAGAGGTTGATTTATGTGATTTCTGGCAGCGGGACAAAGTCAATGCACTTACACAGCTAAAAGTTACACAAATAACAGGAAGGGAACAAGCCGCCGTTTTTATAGGGAGATTTTAGGGAACTCAGCTGCTGCACCGAGTATGCACATATATAGATGGATCTAGACAACCGCTAATAGAGACATCTCAAAGGGCTCAAGGCCTGTCAGCGCTGTCTTATTGGTGAATACTGAGCTTGTGCAGAACTGTGTGGGACGAGAAGTTAAAGCATGAATGATTGTACGCAATGTAGAAGAAAATATGGTGAGAAATGACCGATCTTGAAAGGCTGTGTCTCTTATTTCTACATAGCCTGTTGCAGTCGGTGCCATAGCTATTTTTTGTCGAATAAGCAACAAAAGGGACAATCAATATCATCTTAAAATTACTGTATGAAGTTTTTGAGTTAAAGCTGTGGAGCCTAACTTTAAAACCACAAAAAACCGTAACCATATATTTAAATTCATCCAAATCGTTCCTTGCTCTTAAAACAGTTTGATGTATGTATTTCTTGGCCTCTGTCAAAGCTCACTTAGACAATCAGCTTCCAGCCCAAACTGTCCAATATTGACTCCCGGGGCTACTACTTACACATGCGCAAAACGATAAAAAATTAACAATTATTACTTCAATATAACTCTTACTATGACTATTACTGCTGTACTTCAGGACTCTTCACAAAACCAATGGAAAAGCATTGAGCTGATTTCTTTTGCATAATTATGAAACTTGAAATTGAAATAAACATGACAAAATGTACCGGTACAAAATCTACAAAGCCTTACTCAGACGTAACCTTGATTTCTTTTCTCAAACGTCTAATTGGTCCCGAAAAACTGGCATTTCCCCCAAAGCAGCATTCACCTTTAATTGCACGCGCTGAGACAGCCACTTTAAAATGCATCAAAAGAATAACTAGTGAATGTAGTGTGTTGACGTTAATTAAACATCTCACTAACCCACTAACATGCCCCGATTTCACGTCCAGAAAGATCGATGTCCCTTTGTACTTTAGTGCGCAAGTATGGAAAAGACGTATTGTTTATTTCAAAGACAGGCTGACGTGTGCAGTCGCGAAGAGAAATTATGAAGTGCAGGAATGTTTGGTTTGAGCCTGTGAACACAACAAAAATGCAGGCTCTTGACATTCATTAATTGAGACGTGAAGGGGGAGAAGAAAAGTTCAAATCAATAATTCAGATTTTAATGCGTAGAGTTTCATGTCGGGAGAAAGCGTGTCAAACAACGAAAGAAAATACTTTAAAGTCCTTCCGAGCTCTACGACCAGCTATACGCATTATTTATAGTAATTACATCAAATGCTACTTGTAGATCTACATTACTTTCACTTTTCAAAAATATAATTCGTCTGCACACACTGACCCCATCA